TATTTGTGACTTTTTGACTTCTTACTTGTGACTTCCTACTTGTGACTTTTGACTTCCTACTTGTGAGTAGTGACTTCAAACACTTGTGGGTCTTGACTTTTTACGTATCGACCTCTATTACAAATGCATAGAATTAATATATGTTTGGGGATTGGCAAAGGAACAGATATTCAACCGCCATGAAGCTGTACGTGTATCATAAAATGCAACTAAAAATATAATTCGAGGCTTGGTGCAAAACAGTTGTATCTCCTTCTCTATCTAGTTTAAGTTACAACCGTTTCGCAATAAGCCCTCAAAATGGATTAAACAACTAGACTTTTTCTAGCCCTAGTATAAAGCGCCCGTGTAGGGCAAGGTCATGCACCAAAACTATAATTTTTGTTCTTATTCCACCAGTGCTATTTTACTTTAGCAAATTTAAGATTGACATAGCACAGCTTTGGATACGAGACACCAGCAAACGGAAAGTGGTTCTTTTTGTTATATTTTCCTCTAGATGACAACAATATCATTCTCAGCAAAGCTTCTACGTAAGCTCACGCGAATTAAAAACTACAATAAAAGCGTCATGGGCAGCACACTCGACTATTCTTAGTTCTTGGTAGTAAAATGAAAACCATCTTAGTCGACAAGGCAGTCAACTTTAACAAAATGCTTGACAGAGTTATCTACCCATGTCTAGGGGTTGGGGTCATGGTGGTTAACAAGTCTGCAACATTTCAAAGCGATATCTTGGGAGACTTGGAACATAATTGATGTGGTATGAAAAATTGGACAGAACATTAAACTAACGCCGACGCCCGGATGAGGTGAAAGCTCTCCTTATTCTTAGTCTGGTTCCCGTCGTACTATAAAATTTAGTACTATTGAACGGAGAGAAAAGGGCAGGTAATCCAGACTATCCTTATTCTTCGAATAGTCGAGCTATAAATTACAGGATGTAAAATCAAGGACAATTAACACAATTGTGTTCTAAAAGCACAACATGACAATATCGTTTTAAAAATGATAGTATTTATTATAATATTGATTGAAAAAAGAACTTTTATTTAACAATAAACAATTGAAGTAGAAGTTTGTCCCATTTCTTGGAGCTTTGAGCAGCGAACGAGTAATTGTGGCTGTTTTTTCTTCTTTGCCTTTCTATTTTTAATGTTGTCTATGACTTCCTTTATACGTTGTTTCCTACAAAAAGATAAAAATTTCGAAAGGTGCTTCATTTTGTGCTTCATTTTATCAACATTGCTTACCTGGTGTTTTAATAATATTATTTAATCACTGTTGCACAAGAGATAGTATTTTGTGATTTTGTGTACTTCATTCAAACATTCTCAATTAATTGAAGTTTCAGAATTACAATTTTCTAATACTAACCATTAACGACACAAAGTATATTGTCATAAGATAATCAGATTACACATGGTTTAGTTGTTTTAATAAAACATAGCAAATATATTCCGTTACTAATCTTTATTACAAATGGCATATTCTTATTTAGGGGAGGTAATTATGGGATAACAGAATATATATCGGTAAATAAAACAAAATCAAGTCGATGACCTAAAAGAATTGAAGATGGGAAGGTAGCGGGCACTACAAACCAACATATGTTTTGATTTGGCCTAAGCACAATTATAAACTGAATCACTGTAGTTTAGAAGGACTAACTTTATCAAAGTATATTATTCTTTCAAGTAAGCTTAAATTCAATGAATCTATGAAGCGAAAAGGACAGTATTACGGAATACTGTTAGGGCCATCCTGGTTGTACGTTATATTCCAGAGGGCGATAATGTGATAGTGCGACAACACGATGGTGATAGTACGATGACGACAATGCGATAACACGAGGACGACAATGCTATAGACTATCACATTATTGTCATCGTACTATCGCATTGTCGGCATCGCATTATCGCACTGTCGCATTGTCGTACTGTCGTCATCGCATTGTCGCCATTGCATTGTCGCGTTGTTATCATCGCACTATCGTACTTTCGTCACTGTACTCTCGTACTGTCGCCTTCGCGTTGTCGCACTATCACATTGTCGCCCTCTTGATCATAATTACGTTCAACCACGATGGTCCTAACGGTATTCTGATAGCAAATTTTGTTTTATTATTTTGATTTCTGACAAAGTCTAGCTGATCAACTAGCTACCAAGGTGTTTTTTCAGCCACTTATGGCCTTCTGGGTCTTGTTCTGGCTTTCAAAAATAATATGCCGTTTTTTTCATCTGAGGAGGCATTTTGTTCCCGTAATGTACAGTGAACTATAAATATGGGAACATCGAATGTGTTTGACCAACCCGAATCCAGTGATAAATCTAATTCTCATATACATGGAGAGGACCAGATGAATAACCTTGATGAAAAAAATTGATGTGTAATTGTATTTTATGCATAATCAGTCATTTAAAGAAGAGTGTTCTTTGTTTTTTAGTTTTGTGAATGGTATTAATACACTAAACGAAATCGATCATTCCGACAACCTTTTCTATGTACATGTATATACATGTAAAGTGGTCAGAATAATTATGTATATATATACTTGTATAGAATAATTACAACGATTCTTGTATAAACACTTATCATAGTATTATCATTTTATATCAGTAAATGCATTTTGTAATAATTAAATCTTAACAAGAAGCCAATAACTGATTTGGCATATATTTTAAAAACTCGAGCTTATCTGCAAGTTTAAATCTTAGTACTTATAAGTTTCATTAAGTATAGATTGTTTGATTGATGGAAGTTAGACTCGGTTCCACCGTGAGGCTTGAAAGGAGTCATTTTTCTCACATTGAGGGAGAGTGTTAATTTCTTATGGTAAACGCATCTAGATCAAAAATACACAGACCGTCCAAAATTGTAATGCCCGATTAGTGATGGATATGTATAACATCGCTAAGTTACATTATTTAAGAAGAATATTCAAGCAAACTATAAAAACTTACATCACCTGACAAATCGCTGTCCGCCATGTTGCATCTCCTGCCTAAAAATGAGCGGCAATGCATCATCACAAATTGCAAGTCACAACTTAGAAGTCACAAGTCAATGAAGTCATAACTCCCAAGTCAATAGTCAAAAGTCATTAAGTCAGAAGTCAAAAGGGCCCTCAAGTGCTTCCATACAAATAATTTTACATTCATCACTACTTTATTCAGGGAACAAGCATCTTACATTTCTCTGATACCCTTTTTTTTAAATTATAAAATTCATGTTTACTCTTTCTAAAGAAGTATGTGAGATTTCCCATAAAACTGCATTTTATTTCATTCCAAACGTATTTAAAATGGGGCTCAATATGGCACCAACAGTTATAAGTAAATGACCGACAGAACGGGATATTTTTCGCAGCATCTTTTAATTCTAGGAATACACAAATTCTGTACTAGAGTATTTTGAACGGTGGCATAAAAGTTTTTTTTTTTTTTTTTTCGTACATATTTTTGTTTGTTTGTCGTACATATTTTTTTAGTTTTGAATACATACTTTTTTTTAGTTTTGCATACATATTCTTTTTTAGTTTGCATACATATTTTATTTTAGTTTTTCATACATATTCATTTTTTGTTTGCATACATATTTTATTTTTTTACATATTTTATTTTCGTTTTTTCGTACATATTTTTACATGACGCCATTTGCAAAGTAGAGGTTTGGTTAATTACACCATTTGTAAAAAGAACACTTTGCCACCTGTAAATTACAGTACCCCATTTGCAAATACCAACATTTTCATTTTTGGAGGTATCAAAAAATAACAACACTTTTTAGTATATATATAAATATAAAGTCCGCGGTAACCCAAAGAAAGGTTCTGCATATGGCCTCGATGTGGTTAACATTAAATTTTGTCAAAAAGTGCCTTAAAATCCTTCGGAGATAATGAGCGGACATGAAACCCAAGTCTTTATCCTTTGACCTGGAGGTGTAACCCCGACCTTGAGTCGGCACACCTGGTATATAAGTTCTGCACATTATCTGGATGTGCTAAAGAACTGACCTAAGTTTCATAATTCTCAATTCTCAGGGGGTGGAGTTGAGTGTTGCATATTCATGGAATAATAACTGATCACAAATCAACAGCCCTTTCCAAATAGACACTAATATAATAGTATATACTATTAAAAAACAATAATGATATAAAATACATATAATATAAAAAAATGGGCCGAAAACGGTCGGTCGAAACCAGACCTGCCCGGCCGAAAACGACTCGGCCGATTCCCAAAATGGGCCGAAATGTGACCAAACCACTGTGCTAGTTTTATACTCAACTATTGGCTGTTATGAGATTTGAAGGCTGTTTTGATTGGCTAAAATATGTATGAAAAACAAAAATAATATATGTACGAAAAACAAAAATAAAACATGAATGCAAAACTAAAAAAATATGTATGCAAAACTGAAAAATATGTATGCAAAACTAAAATAAAATATGTATACAAAACTAAAAACTAAAAATGCAAATGTCACTTTTATGCCACCGTAATTTTGTTATATGAACACAATTTTTAGATATTTCCAGTGGTAAAATTCATGAAACTTTTATCACTTAAGCATCATAAAGTATTGACCGTCATCTTGAACTCCACCTCAAATATTCCAATGTCGCAGATAGAAAAAAAGTCAGTACTCAGTAGCAGAACTCAGATGACACCTTTAGACCTCTTGAACCCAAAGTGCGTTGATATGTAGCATATTAACGCACTTTGGGGTCAATTTCTCGATTTTGACCCCAAAGTGCGTTGGACCCTAAAGTGCGGTGCGAAGTTTAACGCACTTTGGGGTCCGACCCCAAAGTGCCTTTGACCCCAAAGTGCGGTGTTACATGGCATTGCTATTTAAACAATCTCGTGACAATCTCGTTACTTTTAAAAACAGTATTCTGATTTTAAATTAAGAATAGCTCTCATATAAAAACTTATTAATTTGTATTTTTACTTATTTTTTTAGTATAAGACGACAATGAATTCGATCTTACCTGATAAAACGTCTGATTCCACAATATAACCCAATTAAACTAAATGTCTGTAAATAAAATGTATAAAATGCTATTGATGATATAAACATTCAATGCGCAGATAAAACAAAAGATCTTTTTATTACAGCAGTAGAACCGTAACAGACAGAACAAAAGAATAACGTCATTATAGTTATTTAAGTCTATTGTATTTCAATCCTCCTATCAGGATTTTATCAACACAAAAAAATATGTCAATCTGTACATTTTTTCTACCCTGTGACATGTCCTTACTGTTTTTTTTAAATACAGAACAGATAGGAGTCCAATATTAATGTGTAAGTCCAATATTAATCGTGTAACACATTTATATCCGACAGCGTGTCGTGTTCTGAAAGAAGCTTGTATGACCACGGGACTTTGTGAAAAAGTATCCAATAAAAAAAATAATAAAAGATTAATATGTGACTTCTTATATCAGAAGTTCACACCTTTCCTTCGGCCATCACGCATTTTTTAGATTTCCAGAAAAGAACAATATTTGTCATCTGTCGATGATTTCTTTGCTCATTTTACGGATTCTATCTTGAAGGCTACTGGTTATCGATTTCACTATAGCGAAAGCTTGCGGAGCGTCAGTGATAATATGATTTTAATATTGTTTAATCCCTTGTATATTGTCCGTTTTTTTTAAAGAAAAAATACATTTAGTTGACAATCATACTTGATTTGCTTCATTGTATGTTCATTGTTTCAGTAAGGTCATCTTTACAAATAAGTGAAATGGCCAGCTTTTCAAATAAATGTAATAGAGTAAATAAATTCATCTACATAACCAAAACAAAAGCGGTTATACATTTATTTGACTACATGTATGTTTAACTTATATATAATATAGAAAAGATTCGAGGCTACTGTGGTATGGCAAATATCAATTCAAAAATAAGAAAATATTATTTAGTTTCGTAAATATCCAAAATTCACACAAATGGCCTTTTTTACACAAGTTATAGTTGTAGTAATTAAAAAAAATAATGAAATAAAATAAATATATCATTTTAACATTAATAGATGTTCATGAAGTTGTTACATTATTATATTTTTTTTAAATATTTTTTTTTTATTTTGACACTTCGAAATTTGTGAAGTTAGCAGCCTAGCAGCCTGGCAGCCTAGCAGCCTGAAGTTGGCAGTCTGGCAGCCAGGCAGCCTGAAGTTGGCAGCCTAGCAGCCTAAAGAAAACTAAGAATAGTACAAACATGAAAACCGGCGGAAAAACATTATTATATTTTTTTTAAATAATGTTTTTTTTATTTTGACACTTCGAAATTTGTGAAGTTAGCAGCCTAGCAGCCTGGCAGCCTAGCAGCATAGCAGCCTTAAGAAAACTAAGGATAATACAAACATGTAAACCGTCGGAAATGAGTCGGTAGCACATACTTAGACCATTCCACGTCTTATCTCAGTAGCGCGTACTTTATTGTTTTTAAATATTGAACTTTGTTTTTTTTTTATTTTGACACTTTGAAATTTGTGAATTTAGCAGCCTAGCATTCTAATAGCCTGGCAGCCTAAAGAAAACTAAGGATAATACAAACATGAAAACCGTCGGAAATGACTCGGAAGCACATATTTAGTCCATTTCCGCGTCTTATTTCAGTATCGCGATTTTTATCTTTTTAAATATTGAACTTTTTTTTTTTTTGGACACTTCGAAATTTGTGAAGTTACCAGCCTAGAAGCCTAGCAGTCTAGCAGCCTGGCAGCCAAGCAGCCTAACAGCCTAAAGAAAACTAAGAATAGTACAAACATGAAAACCGTCGGAAATACATTAGTAGCACTTCCTTAGATCATTCCAGGCCTTTTTCAATAACGTGATCTTTATTTTTTAAGATGTTGAACTTTATCGTAACATATATTTTTCATTCTGACAATTCGAAATTTTTGAAGTAAGCATCCTAGCAGGATAGTACAAACATGAAAACCATCGGAAATGAATCGTTAGCAAATACTTAGACCATTCCGCGTCTTTTTTCAGTAGCGCGTACTTTATTGTTTTAAAATATTGAACTTTGTTTTATAGCTCCCCTGAGCTTGCTCAGGGTGAGCTTTTAGGATCGATGATTGTTCGTCGTCCGTCTGTCCGTCGTCCGTTCACATTTAGTTGTTAACACTCTAGCAGTCGCATTTTTGCCTCAATCATCATCAAACTTGGTCAGGATTCTTATCTAGTTGATAGCTCGGATGAGTTCGATCATGGGTCATCTCAGTTGAAAAACTAGATCACAAGAGCTAAAAATTTAAAAACCTTGTTAACACTCTAGAGGTCACATTTTTGCCTCAATCATCATCAAACTTGGTCAGGATGCTTATCTCGTTGATAGCTCGGATGAGTTCGAATATGGGTCATCTCGGATGAAAAAGTAGGTCACCGGAGCTAAAAATAGAAAAAACCTTGTTAACACTCTAGCGGTCACATTTTTGCATCAATCATCATCAAACTTGGTCAGAATGCTTATCTAGTTGATAGCTCGGATGAGTTTGAACATGGGTCATCTCGGATGAAAAAGTAGGTCACCGGAGCTAAAAATAGAAAAACATTGTTAACACTCTAGCGGTCACATTTTTGCATCAATCATCATCAAACTTGGTCAAGATGTTTGTCCAGGTGATAGCTAGGAGGAATTTGAACATGGGACATCTCGGATGAAAAAATGTACGTCACCGGAGCTAAAAATATAAAAAAAAAACATGTTAACACTCTAGCGGTCACATTTTTGCATCAATCATCATCAAACTTTGTCAAGATGCTTGTCTAGGTGTTTGCTCGGATGAGTTCAAACATAGGTCATCTCGGATGAAAAAGTAGGTCACCAGACCTAAAAATAGAAAAACCTTGTTTACAGTCTAGCGGTCAAATTTTTGCATCAATCATCATCAAACGTGGTCAAGATGCTTGTCTAGGTGATAGCTCGGATGAGTTCGAACATGGGTCATCTCGGATGAAAAAGTAGGTCACAGGAGCTAAAAATAGAAAAACCTTGTTAACACTCTAGTGGTCACAATTTTGACTCAATTGTCGTCAAACTTGATCAGGAAACTTGTCTAGGTCATTGCTGGGAATAAATCGAACATGGGACATCTCGGATGAAAAACTAGGTCACAGGAGCTAAAAATAGAAAAATCTTGTTAACACTCTAGTGGCTACTGTTGTGATCCAAATATTCTGTTAATTGGTCGGAAAGTTTGTTTTGATGATTTCTAAGTCAAGATCGAACATGGGTCATCTTGGATGAAAAACTTGGTCACGACACCCAAATATGGAAAAACCTTGTTAACATTCTAGTGGTCACATTTTCGACTCAATTATCATCAAACTTGGTCAGGATGCTTGTCTAGGCAATTCCTTGGATGAGATCGAAATCGCATGTGAAACTAGGTCACCAGAGCTAAAAATAGAAAAATCTTGTTAACACTCTAGGTGCTACTGTTTTGATCCAAGTATCCTGGAAATTGGTCTGAAAGTTCGTTTTGATTTCTAGGTCAAGTTTGAATATGTGTCACCTGGGTAAAAAACTAGGTCGCACTACTTAAATATGGATAATCCTTGTTAACACTGTAGTGGTCACATTTTTGACTCACTGGTCATAAGATTTGGTCAGAATGCTTTTCTTGGTAATTGTTTGAATGAGTTTGATAAGTCAGGTGAGCGATCTAGGGCCATCATGGCCCTCTTGTTTTTATTTTGACACTCTGAAATTTGTGAATATAACAGCCTAGCAACCTAGCAGCCTAGCAGCCTAAAGAAAACTAAGGATAATACAAACATGTAAACCGTCGGAAATGAGTCGGTAGCACATACTTAGACCATTCCACGTCTTATTTCAGTAGCGCGTACTTTATTGTTTTTAAATATTGAACTTTGTTTTTTTTCTATTTTGACACTTTGAAAATTGTGAATTTAGCAGACTAGCAATCTAGCAGCCTGGCAGCCTAAAAAAACAAAGAAAACTAAGGATAACACAAACATGAAAACCGTCGGAAATGACTCGGAGGCACATATTTAGTCCATTTCCACGTCTTATCTCCGTATCGCGATCTTTATCTTTTTAAATATTGATTTTTTTTTCTATTTTGACACTTTGAAATTTGTGAATTTAGCAGCCTAGCAGCCTGGCAGCCTAAAAAAACCCAAAGAAAACTAAGGAAAATCAGACATGAAAACCGTCGGAAATGACTCGGAAGCACATATTTTAGTCCATTTCCACGTCTTATTTTAGTATCGCGATCTTTATCTTTTTAAATATTGAACTTTTTTTTGACACTTCAAATTTGTGAAGTTAGCAGCCTAGGAAGCCTAGCAGTCTAGCAGCCTGGCAGCCTAACAGCCTAACAGCCTAAAGAAAACTAAGAATAGTACAAACATGAAAACCGTTGGAAATATATTAGTAGCACTTCTTTAGATCATTCCACGCCTTTTTCAATATCGTGATCTTTATTTTTTAAGATGTTGAACTTTATCGTGACATATATTTTTCATTCTGACGCTTCGAAATTTGTGAAACTAGCATCCTAGCAGGATAGCACAAGCATGAAAACCGACGGAAATGAATCGTTAGCAAATACTTAGACCATTCCACGTCTTATTTCAGTATCGTGTACTTTATTGTGTTTAAAATAATTAACTTTTTTTTTATTTTGACACTTTGTGAAGTTAGCAGCCTAGCAGCCTGGCAGCCTGGCAGCCTAGCAGCCTAGCAGCTTAAAGAAAACTAAGAATAATACAAACAAAACATGTAAAACGTCGGAAATAAGTCGGTAGCACATACATAGACTATTCCACGTCTTTTTTTAGTATCGCGAACTTTATTTTTTTAAATATTGAACTTTGTTTGTTTGTTTTTTGTTTGTTTGTTTTTTTTTGTTTTTGTTTTTTGGACACTTTGAAATTTGTGAAGTTAGCAGCCTAGCAGCCTTGCAGGCTAGCAGCCTAAAGAAAACTAAGGATAATACAAACATGAAACCCGTCGGCGATACCGACTCCCTTTTGTTCGGAAAGTTGAGATTATCT